CATAACCAATGGACACAGAGAGTAGGGGGGTGAGGGCGTGTGCTGTGGGGTGGAAGCAGCTGGGGGAGGTCAATGGAGGGGGGAAGGAGATTCATGTAATACGTTAAACAATAAAGAATTTATTAAATTAAAAAATGGCTGAATATGTTAATATTTATTTCTCATTTGCTTCAGTCTAATGTGGGTCGGAGAGCTCATCTCCACGTGGTGCCTCAGGGATCCAGTTCCTGCTCACCTGTGACACAGCAGAAAACAGAAGTGGAAGATTGTGCGTGAATGTGGCATGTTACTTCTGCCCACGTCTGTTGGCCTGGTGCTCCCCGCAGAGTCCAACTCCACCAGTGCCCAGGAAGACATCAATTGGTGACTCTTGGCTGACCCTGCCCCAGGGAGGAGGAGAGACGGGGACCAGGCAAGGCCAGTCCCTGGCCCTCATGGCAGGACCTGGGTCTGTGGTCTTGGAGCAGAAGATCCAGCTTCAACTTGGCCACAGGCCTAGGAAGGGGTAAGGGCAGCTGCCATCCGTGCCCACTGTGGTCTTTTTTAAGAGGAAGGAGCCAGCGCTTCAGAAGGCATTTTGGAACATGGAGGTCTCCCAGAACCCATTAGGATGGTCAAGTGTCTGTCCTCGGCATGGAGGCGTGTCCGGCATGGAGGCATGTCGGCACCCAGTCAGCTTCTCTCCAAGGCTTCTGCTGCTCCAGCTCTTGTGTCCCCGGGAGGGCTGGGGAGGACTCTTAGCTTTCAGTACACCAGCCAGGTCGCTCTCAAGAGCTCTGGTTTCGGGGAACGTGATCCCCAGGGTGTTTGTGGCCTCCAGTTTCTCGGGGGCCTGGGGCACAGGGTGGCAGCGGCTGAGCCAGCCTCGTGAGCTTGGCTACCTATGAAGGGCTCCGGGCCCATGGTGGCCCAGGCAGTGCCTGCAACTTACTAATGGGCAAACCCTGAGCCCAGAGCACAGCCCTAGGCTTACCCCGGCCGTGGCTGCCTCCTTGCTCTGCCTTCCTGTGTCTGCTTTGGGGTTCTGAGGCTTGCCTTGTGGGGTCTAGGATGCTCCCAGTTGGGCAAACACGCTGCATCCTGGGGCAGTTCTGGAAATCTTTGCAGGATGAGAGCGAGCACAGGGGCATCTGGGTGGTTTCTGTAATTTCTCCCAGCTGAGCGAGGCAATGTTCCACGGGGGTCCAGGCTTTGTAATACAATGGATTGGGTTTGCATCCTGGCCTTGCCCTTGCCAACTGTGTGGCCTTGATCAAGCTACTTACCTTCTTCTTTAAAAAATTTTTCTTTTTTTTAAATTAATTTCAGAGAGAGAGAGATCCAATGATAAGAATCATTGATCAGCTGCCTCCTGCACATCCCCTACTGGGGGTTGAGCTTGCAATCCAGGCCTGTGCTCTTGACTAGAATCGAACCTGGGATCCCTCAGTTTGCAGGCCAATACTATAGCCACTGAGCCACACCTGCTAGAGCAAGCTATTTGAATTGGTTGAACTGGTTTTCTGTGGAGCAGGGGAACTTAGCACCTGCTTGGCCACGGTGGTCAGGAAATGAATTTCTTTATCACACACACACACACACACACACACACATACACACACACATACACTCCTTTCTTGCAGCAACAGTCACAGGGGTCCTGTTAAGATGTATGTCAGGCCAAAACGGTTTGGCTCAGTGGATAGAGCGTCAGCTTGCGGGCTAAAAGGTCTCAGGTTCAATTCTGGGCACATCCCCAGTAGTGGGTGTGCAAGAGGCAGCTGATCGATGATTCTCTCTCATCGATGTTTCTAACTCTCTATCCCTCTCCCTTCCTCTCTGTAAAATATCAATAAAATATATATTAAAAAAAAAAAGATGTATGTCGGCTCATGCCATTCCTCTGCTCAAAGTCCCCCAGTGACCTCTCACCAAAGTCAAAGTCAAAGCTTTCACAAAGACCCCCACCCTGAGACGTCCTCTCTCTGCCATCTCCCTGCTGCCTGGGCTCCTTGCAGCTCCAGGGCACCTGGCACACTCCTGCCGGGGTCCCGGCACTGCCACCCCGGCCTGGAACACATGTGCCCCGGACATGTGTCTGCACGGCCTCTCCCTCCCCGCCTGGCTCCGGTGCCGTCCTGTCCTGAGGGCTCCCGGCCGCTCCTGGTCCTGCAGGGCCTCTGTCCCTCTGTCTGGTGTTCCTTCCTCTATAGCCTGACCGATGCCTGGCACAGCGGGAAATGCCTCTTGTTGATCATCTCCACTTTCAGGAACGTAAGCTCCTCAGAGGCAGGGTTTCGGGCCTATTGATGTGATCACGTTCATACTCACTGCCCTGGGCCAGCCACATGAGCAGGACCGAACTGTTCGATGAGTGAATACGGGCATGCAGGTGAGGACTCGAGTTCCCGGGGCGCAGGTACGAGGGGGCATGGCATGAAGAGCACTGGCACTTTCCTTATTTTGCCAAATGAGGGCCTGGGGTGAGGTCCCCAGGAGCCCATGAACCCGTGGGAGCTGTGACACCTTGGGGGAGGGGAGTCCCGCCTCCTGTGTTTTCCGGGGACGCACGCCCCAGCTTCCCGCAGACAATTAGCAGAGCCTGTGACCTCCTGGGAGCTGAGCTCCCGCCCTCTGACCTCGTGGTGGGCTCTAACAGGCTGACATCCCTGCCAGCTAAGGACCAGGGGTGCTCACACTCCATGGCCTTGCTCAGCTTCAGCAGCCACCAGGGTGAGCAGGTGAGGGTGGGGCGTGTGGGGACGCTGGAGGGAAGACAAAGGGGACTTCTATGTTACACATACTGTTTCCTTCCTTCTCCTAGAAAAGAAAGTGGACTGAAAGCGAGGCTGACAAAGTGTGTGCGGCCGTCACAGAGAGCTCCGTTCTGTCCTGCGGGTCCCATTTCTTCAATAGAATACGGGCTCGGAGGTGGGCAGGCTGACAGCTTATGGTCAGGGATGGTGAGGCCGTTTCTGGGGACCGGAGGACGGTGGTCACCGCCGGCCCCTTCGCGGTGGGGGAATGGGCAGAGGGTGGCGGAGTGTGGGCCCAGCTCCTATCGCTGTGGGAGCCCCCTCTCCTGCCCGGCTCCCCTCCCCGACTCTCAGTTTCCTGCCCTCCCGGGGAGTGGGAAAAGGCTGAGAGGCCCCGTGCTGGGGATGGAGCTAATTCATTAGTGACGCCTCAACAAGAACTGGGCGCCCGCAGTGCCAGCGTGATTCATCAGCGTGATTGCCCGCTGCCAGCCTGCGTGGGCCGGAATGCCAGCACATTTTACCTGTACCCACCGAAAAGGACCTGGTGGGAGGCAGAGGTACTGAGCGAGAGCAAGAAAAAGCCTGGAGAAAGGAGAGGGCTGGTCCCCGCGCCCCGGGACCGGGACGCTGTGCCGGGCGGGCGGGTGCTGGAGAGGCAGGGCATGTGGCTCCTGCCCGCGCAGGCAGTGCCAGCTCCAAGCATGTGGTGAGGGGGGCTGCTGGGCTGCCTCCTCCACAGAGGATGTTCCCTCAGGGGGCATCTGTTTGAGGGGCAGCAGGGGGTGGAGATGGGGGGTGGGGGGATGGGGGGAGAGGCTCTCAGCCTTACCCATCAGCTTGGCTGGGTTTTCCTCCGGGAAGTTCTCCCAAAGAAGCAGAAGGGAGAGCTGAGTGGGAGCTTGGGTGAGGCCTGGAGGGAGCGAGAAGGCTCCCCCGGCTAAGGCCCAGACCCTCTCCTCTCCCCCCACCCCAGCTCTGCTGTCAGGGCTGTGCTTATTCTCCGCCTGGGTCCCCCCTCCCTCAGGGGTCCTGTCTGCATCTCATCCATTTCCATCCCAAGACCGGGTCCCGGGCTGGCTGCTGGCTGCAGCAATACCTGTCTCTGTGACCCCGAACCCCGAACCCCGACATCCCTAGCCCTGTTGCCACTGCTCTTGCTCCTTTATCCCACGCTCACATGGCGTGTCTGAGCAAACGCAGTCAGGAGCGAAGGGAGTGCATGCACACTGAGTAACTTCCTTCACATGGAACGCGAGAACAGGCCCCACCGGCCCGCAATGAGAGCAGTCAGGGTCACAGTTGACCCTGGGAGGTGGGAGGTGACGGTAAAAGGCACCAGGGGACTCCGAGTGATGGAAATATTACACGGCTGTTCACATCTGTCAAAGCTCAAACTGCACCCCTGGCCGGTTTGGCTCTGTGGATAGAGCCTGCGGACTGAAGGGTCCCAGGCTCGATCCCTATTAAAGGCATGTGCCCAGGTTGCAGGCTGGATCCCCCTGCTATAGGGGGCGTGCAGGAGGCAGCGGATCAATGTTTCTCTTTCTCCATTCTCTCTCCCTCTTCCTTTCTCTCTGAATCACCCTCCAACCCCCCGCCAGTGGGGTGACCTTGGGCAAGTCACTCAGCTCATCCAATCTCTCAGAGCCATGACGCCAGGGCTCCGTGCAGGGAGAGATGGGCTCAAGCAGGCTCCCAACCCCAGGAGCCAGCCTTCTGCCCGGAGCTTTGCAGGAGGCTCCGCGGGGGCGGGAGCGGCGGTGGCGGGAGCATGCGCAACAGGCAGTCCCGGGTGACAGGGTCCCGGTGGGCGGCGCTCGGAGGCGCTCAGGTGCGGGTCCTCCGTCCTCACGCGGGCGGGCGGGACGGGCGGGACGGGCGGGAGGGGGTGCGCTCGCGGAGGAGGAACCTGCCGGCGAGGCGGGCGTTCCGGCGCGGACGGGGCGGAGCCAGGCTGAGTCCCCGAAAGTCCTGGGATGGGACCCGCCGCGAGGAGGGCCGGGCCGCAGCGCTGCTCCGGAGGAGTCTCTGTCCGGGAGCGGCCCTCGCGGGGAAGCCGGTCGCAGGCGGCGGCGGCGGAGGGGCCGCGGTGACCGCCCGCCGCAGGCCCCCCTCCAAACCACGTGTCCGGAGTCCGGCGGGCGCGCCGGCGTCTCTGGCCTTCGCTCCCTTCTTCCCGGACTTGCGGTCTGGACGCCAATGGCCGCCAAGCCGAGTGGCTCGCCGCGACGGACGAGCGCCGGAGGACGGGTCTGTGCCCACGGAACGCCAGGCTCGGGGGGCGCGGCCCCGGGGTGCCCCCGGCCCGCGCTGCCCGGCGCCCGGCGCCCGGACCCCGGCACCGGGAGCTCCGTGGCCCCGCCCCGCCCCGCCCTCCCTCCGCCTCATTGGCAGCCGCGTCGGGGGTTGCCAGGGCGACGGGTCGCTTAGCTGCGAGTCAGAGCGAACCCGAGCCAGTCCGCCGGCGTCGGGAGCCGGGGAGGCCAGAGGGCGAGCCTCCGAGCGCGGCGCCCCGAGGCCGGGCCCCGAGCGGGGGCCTCCTGTCGGCCGCGCGCGGCCCCCCTCCCGGCGCAGGGCCAGGCCGGGGCGGGGGGCCTCCGGAGCCGGGGCGGCCTCGGCCCCGTCGGGGAGACGAGGGGGTGACCAGGGCGGAGCGATGCCGCGCGGTGGCGGCGGCGGCGGCGGCCCCGGTAGGGGCCCGTGACCATGGGCATCGCCGAGTCCACCCTGGACGAGCTGCCGTCGGACGCGGAGGAGCAGCTGCGCCACGGCGAGCAGCAGCTGGAGCTGAGCGGGCGGCGGCTGCGGCGCCTGCCCAGCGCCGTGTGCGCGCTGAGCCGCCTGGAGAAGCTGTACGTGAGCGGCACGGGGCTGCGCGAGCTGCCGGAGGAGATCGAGGAGCTGCGCGAGCTGCGCATCCTGGCGCTGGACTTCAACAAGCTGGAGCGCCTGCCCGACGGCCTGTGCCGCCTGCCGCGCCTCGCGCGCCTCTACCTGGGCGGCAACCGGCTGCTGGCGCTGCCCGGCGACTTCGCCCAGCTGCAGAGCCTGCGCTGCCTCTGGATCGAGGGCAACTTCCTGCGGCGCTTCCCGCGGCCGCTGCTGCGCCTGGGGGCGCTCCAGTCGCTGCAGATGGGCGACAACCGGCTGCGCGCGCTGCCCGCCGACCTGCCGCGCATGACGGGCCTGCGCGGCCTCTGGCTCTACGGCAACCGCTTCGAGGAGTTCCCGCCCCCGCTGCTGCGCATGGGCCGCCTGCACATCCTCGACCTGGACCGAAACCGTCTGGGCGGCTTCCCGGACCTGCGCCCGCTGCGCTCGCTGCGCGTCTTCTCCTATGACCACAACCCGGTCACCGGGCCGCCGCGCGTCGCCGACACCGTCTTCCTCGTGGGCGAGGGCGCAGTGGAGCGCATGGCCGAGCGCGACGAGCCCGTCCCCCGGCGGCCACCCCGGCGGCCGGCACGGGCCTTCGAGGATGACGAGGAAGAGGACCTGCTCATTGGGGGTGGGGGCTCCCGGGCCCTGGGGCCCCCGGGGGGCAGCCTGCGCGCCCTGGACGCTGCTCCAGGCCTGGGCACCTGAGCCTGTGCTCTGGGTGATGGACTTCGGCGGCTCTGGGAGGAGGGGATCCGGGAGCTCCGTGGGAGCGGTGGGCAGAGCAGGGGCCACTTGGGGGGAGTTGCCCGGAACAGGCAGGCCTGGGGGGCTTCTTCAAACAGGCCTGGGCTGTCGTCAGACCAGGAAGCATGGCTCCAGCCAGCCCCCGTGTCTATGTGGGGCCCCTGAGAGGGTCACTGACAACGCAACAGAGAGGCCCGCTTCCTCCCGGAAACCGGCCACTGCTGTCGGTGGAATCAGCACCTGGCGGAGGGTGGACACCCAGGTGCCCATCGTCTCCTGCCTCCTGGAGGTTGGCTCTCCCAGGCCCGCTGCCTCTGGAAGGGCTGCTGCTGCGAGGCAGGCCTGCCCTGGGAGGAGGGCCTGGCCGGGCAGAGGCCTGCAGAGGCCGGTGCCCAGGGCAGAAGTGGGAACCTGGGATTGGGGCCCCTTCACCGGGGCGCCTTGGACATACCTCCCGCCCCATCCTCCCCCCCCCCCCCCAATTTGTATGGGGAGGGAGGGCACTCAGGAGGCAGGGCCTGCACCTCGCCTTGTATCGTTCTCTCCTCCCAGCTTGTGCCTGGAATCTGGCAGCGAGAGAAGCTTGTCCTCCCTCCCCCGCCCGAGCCTCCCAGCTGTCAAGGTTGACAAGCAGCCACTCTGCCTGGAGGCCTCCTGCACGGAGAGTGCGCGGGGCTGGGGAGGCGGCCCAGCGCCTTCCCCACTGCCTGCACTCTCCATTCCCTTAAATGGGCACAGCCAGGGCGGCTGGCACGGCGCGGGGCATGGGACGAGTGCTGTGTGCCTCTCCTCCGTCACCAGGGACAGCCTCAAGTGGGTGAGGAGGGGCCTCACTCTGCCATTCCCGGGGCCAGATCTTTCCCATCCGAGCAATAATGGGCGGGGTGGGCGGGGCCAGGGACACTCAGGGACACTGTCGGGGCTGGGGCCCCACATGGTGGTGGTGGTGGTGGTTTCTTTAGGAAGAGGGGGGAAAAAACTGGCTGCAAGCAAATTACATTTCTTGGAGAAAGAATGTGCATTTCCCCACGCCTGTTTATTTAAAGCCCTGGGGGCACCGGGTCCCACTGCTGCGGGCCCTGGCTCCCTTTGGCTCTGCCCTCTGTCCCTGGGCCTGTGCTCTGAGGGAGCCGTGCAGCCCACTGCCGCCTTCTGTCTGGGGAGCAGGCCCAAAGGCTTTGGCTGCTCCCATCCGGCTTGCTATAGCTTTCCCCTCTGCCGCCCAGCCCCCAGCTCCGCCCCTTCCTTGTCTCCTCCAGGTTAATGCTCAGGTTCCCGACACCTAAGATGCTCCTGAGTCTCCCTCAAGCTGGGCTGGCCTTTCTCCATTCCTTCCCTGGTACTGACCTCCTGCCATCCCTCCCACCCCCCGTGACTCTGTTCTTCCCTCCTTCCAGCTCCCTCTTCCTCTCTCTCCCTCTTAGTTTCTTTTTCTCCGGTTATGGTTTGACTTTCTCCCCTCGTTGTCCAGAAAAAAAAAGGGGAAAAAAATTTTAAACTTTAAGAAAATGGTAAAGCTCCAAGCCTAGAGGCCCATCTCCCATGAGATGCTGCTAGGCCACCATCACCATGGTGACAGGGCTGATGTCATTCAAGGCCCAAAGGTCAGGCCTGGCCCAGCAGTTCTGCTGGCCACTGGGCTGGGCCTAGGTTGGGAGGCGGCTGGGGAGAGGCTGGAGCAGTCAGCTTGCCAGTGAGAGTGACGGCAGAACACGGGGAGCTGGGGGGCTGGCTGCCTCCTGCTTGAGAAGGAAAGAGGGGGCCGGGGCGCTGCAGACATGGTCCCCCTGTGTGGCTCCTTCCAGGTCAGGGGGCCTTCTCGGGGCCTGGGGACTTAGAGGAAGAACATAGTCCCACAGGCGGGGAGGAGTGGCTGCCGGCAAGAATGTCCTCTGACCCCATACCCCCTGCCATAGCATCAGAAGGCTTGGGTTCCAGTCCTCGGTCTATTGACTGACCTTGAGAAGGTCGTGGCGCCCTCCCACCCCAGACATAGGGTCCTCAGGTCCTCCGTCTGCACAAAGGAGGTGGGCTGATTTAGATCCCACTGCAGCTCAGGAACCCGTGAACCCTGTCTGTCTGCCTTCCCTTTATGCGCATCTTAGATGCCGGGGTGCAGGGTGCGGGGGGAGGGGGGGTCCTTCCTCTTCCTCTTCCTCTTCCTCTCCTCTCTGGTCTGTTTCCCTGAAACTCTCCCTGCGGCCCTCACTCCAGGTCGGGCAAAGGCCCCCATGGGGCCCCTGGGCCGGCCCCTGGCTTTGTTGCTTCACCATCAGGAGCCGGCTCCCGGGGAGAGAAAGTTTGCCTAAAGTGGGGGCTGGTGCCCAGTGGGAGAGCCCTCGGAGGGCTTGTCTCCCTGCGGAAATGGGGGCGACCTGAGGAGGGAGGGGCTGTCGCCAGGACTGCTGGACTGTCCAGCTAACCCCCCTGGGTGAGGAAGAGAGCACAGTGTTTGGAGGCCTAGGGCCCCTCCCCCCATAACTGCCCGTGCCTCCCTCCCGGGAGCGGGAGGAGGGGGTGACTTGGAGGGCCACTGTTAACACCACTTGTGCCCCGCACAACTGCCCAAGTTGTGCGGGGCAGTCAGCATGTGCGGGTCCCGGGGGAAGACGTGGGGCAGGGGAGGCTGGTCAGGAGGGCCGTGAGGAGTTGTGGTTGTGCCAGGCCTGAGGGCAGAGGCCAGGGAGTCTGCATCAGAGCAGGAAGGCAGGCAGTGGGAGGAGAGCAGAGCTGTGGCAGGGCAAGAGGCGGCCCAGGAGGCAGGGGGCTGGGCCTCCGAGCCCGGCGCTCAGCCCCTGCCGGCCAGGTCCCATCTGGCCTGGGCTGGCCGTCAGGTCTGGGTGTGGGAGGAGTGGTGGTTGTCAGTGACCTGCTCATCCTCCCTCTGGACCCTCCTCCCCCCCAGCCAGACCTCCTGGCTGGCAGGGCAGCAGGGCTGGGGGAGGGTGGCTTTGTCATGCCATCCCCTCCTCCTGGCCCATCAGGCGCTTGGGCAAGCAGAACAGGGTGCAGGGGATCGGGCCCCGCCCAGAACTTGCCTCCTTGCCTCCCAGGCCTCCCACGCTCCTGCTCAGCACCGGTCGTCCGTCCGTCCGTCCGTCCGTCCCCCCCCCCCCCCCCCCCCCCCCGCTGCCGGAAGACACGTGGCATCTCGTTCTGAGGATGGACGTTTATTAGCGCACCCAGGGGTGCCACACGGAACACAGATTGAGACAGGGATCCCTGCCCAGGGGGCTCACAGCTAAATGAGACACAACAGACACGTGCACACAGGACACGGACACACAGGCCACGGACACGGAGGGGGGCCGCTGCCAGGGGTGCCGGCGGGAGAGGGGCCGTGGGCGGGGACGCAGCGTGTTGGAGCATCGCCCTCCGGTGTGTCTGCGTGGGGAGCCGGGAGAGCGAGCGCAGCCGTGACGGCCTTCCCGAGGCGCCGAGCCCAGGAGAGCGAGCCCCAGGGGCAGCGGGCCGGCCCCGGGCAGGAAGGGCCAGTCTCGCGGATGACCAGGGGCCTAACCAAGTGGAGGCAGGAGAGCGGGGCAGAAAGTGCAGAAGGCCGGAGCCCACAGCGTGATGGAGCCCACGGCGGGAGGCCGCCCCCTAGGCTGGGAGCTGTCCCTGCTCTAGGCCGGTTCCCAGGGCCATCTCCCCGCAGGGAGCTCCGGGGCGGGGCCTCTGAGCTACTTACCTGACCCTCAGGCCCCCTCCCGTCTCCAGGGCAGAGATCAGAAGGAAAAAGGAAACCCCACCTTGTAGCTGGCATTTGCATGACATGGTGGGAGGGGAGAGAGAAGGTGTGCAGCTTCCCATGGGGGTTTCGGCGCCGCAGGAGGCAGCTGCTGGCCGGGGCCCGGGGAGCAAGGGGCGCGATGGCCCCCACTCTGGGGTGGACACATGACAACTGAGGGCCCTCGTTCCCTGGTGCCTGTAACGGGGATAGCACCGTCCCCCTGAGGTGCCCTGAGAGGGGCCGGCGCTGTGTCCCCTGCCGGCCTGGGTGCGGGCGGTTGGATGGTTATTGCTCCTCGGTGGCCCGCGAGGGCAGGAAGGAAATGGCTCCCCCCGGTGGCCGGAGGACCCTGGCCCCGGTTCCTTTGGGCTGGGCTGGCCACGGGCTTTATTGAGCTGGAGAGACTTTTCTAACCCGAAAGGACTCAACCCAGAAAGGGCGGCGAGAAGCCACAGGCCCAGCCACCAGAGCGGCCCCCGAGGGCCGGGAAGGAGCCGCTGAGCTGAACACGGCGGCAGTGGGGGAGGTCGAGCCCCTATTGGGTCTGTCTGACCCTCCTTGGAGGGTGGGGAGGGTCCCCTGAGACATGGGGGAGGGGATGTGGGACCAGGCGAGCTACAGGGTGCCCTCAGACCTCACGGTGACCCCGCTCCTAACACGCCGTGCTTTAGGCCTGAGCCTGGAGCCTGGCTGCTCCCCGGGCACCGGGTGCTGATGTGCGGCCGAAGGGCCCCATGGCCAAGGTGACGAGATGAGGGGAGACTCTGGCCCAGGCTCCCCACCCCTCACCCCACTGCCTCTTCCCCTGGGCGGGGCTGGGGGCTGGGCCCCGCGGAGGAAACAGCCAAGGCCCGACTTGTCCACGATCCTTTATTAACCGGAGCGGCCCCACCAGAGCGGGGCCGCCCCCACAAAGATACGGTTTGCAAAGAGGACGTCTCTGGCTTAGAGGGTGTGCGTGGTGGAAAGTTTATGGTTCTTTTTTCCTTTTTTTTTTTCTTCTTCGGTTTTTTCATTTCTCTTGAATGCATTTTTTTTTTTTTTGTGACAGTGGGCTTTTTTTTTTGTTTTTTAAGTAAAACACTTGCTCTCACGGACTCCAACACAATACAAACAACGGCTACCAGCCCCCAGCCCTGGGCCCCAGCGGGTTGGGGGGCTGGGGCCCCCTCGAGTGGTTGTGGCTGTGTTCCTGGTGTGGGCACGGTGGGCAGGGCGAGGCCCTGGACGGTGGGTCTGTACAGCAGCGCCCTGGGGAGACGTCACAAGAAAGGGAACCTGGACAGGTAACGGCTAAGTCTAGGGGCCACGGAGACGGAGACGACGCTCAGAAAGGGGCGGGGACGCAGCGGAGGAGGGAGAGGTGGGCCCAGGCCGGCCGCGCGCCCGGTGGCGCCATGGGGAGGGGTGGTGGTGGTGGGGAGAGGCCAGCGCGCCTTGCTTCCAGCTGCAGGAATAACACGCTGGCTGCTTGCGGGGAGGACCTCCAAGTCCCCCCAACACCCCTCCCCCGCTGTGACCCCAGGTGGCGGCGGCCTCACAACCTCCCCTATGAGGTAGGTGAAGAATTGTTGCCATCATTTTACAGATGGGGAAACTGAGGCCCCGGGAGGGTGGGTGGTTTGCCCAAGGTCCTGGGATGGCGGCAGGGCTGCGGTGCCCGCCCCCATCCCTGTTCCCCCATTCCCTGGACCAGCCCCACCCTCTCCTCCCAGGGCAGCGCACCAGGTCCTTGGCCCACCGCCTGCGCCCCTCCTCTGCGTCCCGGCTGCGCGGGCAGGGGACGACCCTGGTCAGAGTGGGAAGACCCCGCGCCGAGATGCTTTCTGCATGTGATTGGCTGAGAACCTAGTGGGTGGGGCTGGGGGGCGGGAGAAAGGCTGCATTTGGCCCGTCCACTCTTTGCAAATTAGTGCACCCCCATCCTCTCCCCCCGCCCTGGGCTCTGCCCCCCGCCCCCGGCTCACACGCTCGCCTCCCGCGGGGTGCAGGGGCGCAGGGCCCCCGCTCTGCCTGCCGAGACAGCAGCCCCTCTTTGCTTCCCCACAGCCTCGGAGTCCCCGCCCTCCCGCCCCCGCTGGGGGCTGGTCCCAGCCCGCTCGGGGAGGAGGGGGCAGACCCCCAGTTTGAGCAGAGCTACCCTAGAGAAACAGGTGGGTTTACAAGGGATGGGGGCGACCCGCTGTGCACACGAGCGCTTTCCACTCTGCAGCGCGACCCACCGACTGCGGGACCTCCAGGGGGCAGGGGTGCGGCTCCATGTCAGGAAGTTTGATCCGGGAAAAACGCTCCGCTCCGGGGGCGCCTACGGAAGGAGGGTGGTCCCCAAATGCCCATGCTGTGGCCACGCTCCGTAAAGGGAGCCCTGCCCAGAGTTCTCCTTGCCCGGGGTGTCGCCTCCGCCTGGGGCAGGCCTTGGTCCGAGAGCGCGGTCTCCGACCGCGGTGTCCTGGCGCCACCTGGCGGTGGGTTCCGGGAATGTCAGGTCCCGCTCCGGACCCTGGGGATGGGAAGCTGTAGCCAGCCAGCCAGCCGTCCTGAATCACTACCAGGCCCCTAGGGGGATGCGCAGGCTTAAGCAGGGGTAACCCCGAATCTGCTATCGCCAAGGGACAGGATCTGCAGCCGTGGAGGCCGCGAAACCTCCGAACTCCCCACACCCCTCCCCACCTCCTCCACTCACCCCTCACCTGTTCCTCCTCTCTTGGGCTCCCGAATTTTCCCTGCTTCCCTGCCCTGAACTAAGAAGGGGAGCAGCGGGGAGGGGAGGAGACACTCCAGGAGGAGAATGGGAGAAGCAGGAGCAGAGACGGGGACAGGGAAGGGGAGCAAGCAGGAGGATGGAGGGGGCGGAGTGTGTGTGGGGTGGGGTGGGGGTGAGGGTGGGTCTGCACGGACAGGGCGAGATGAAGGGGAAGAAAGTGGGACTCAGGTAGAATCTTGCCAATGGGGCTGGGCTGTGTGATCTGGGGCGAACAAGGGTGTCTCTGGAAGGAAGGGCGCCGGTGGGTCGTGGCGGAAGGGGATGCATACAGTAGGTGCCTAAAAGGTGAAACAATGTTCAAGAGATGAATGACGTCACCGGGGAAAGGAGCTACCGGAGAACTCTGAGCAGAGAGAGGCCCCTGTGGGGGGGGGGGGGGAGACAGCTGGAGGCAGCCCAGTTCTCAGCCCAGCTGCCTCTGCCCCTCTTCCCCACACGGCCCTCCCCCTGCCCCTCCTCACCCCTCCCTTCTTCTCCTCTCTGGCCCCTGGCTCAGTGCACTGTCCCCTCCGGCCTCCAGCCCCGCCTCACTTCATGAAACCCTGCCCCCTCTGCACAGTCTTCACACCGCTGGCCCCAGGGGCACAGGGAGCAAGCCCCCCACCCACACACATGCACACGCGTGCACACACATACACACACATGGTGGACACAACACAAGTACACAGGGCTGCGGCTCCAGGGCCCCCGAGGGGCTCTCTGCTGTCCTTGGCGCTCAGGGCCCAGCCGGCACCTGAGACTGCCCTGGGTCCGGCCTCTCCTGGCCAGGCCGGGGCCCGTCACCCCGGCCTCCCCTCTCCTGGGCCTCGCTCCACTCCAGGCACCGCCTTAAAGAAAACGGGGGATGGTGCCCCCCTGGCGGGCCTCTGGAGGGGTCTGCCCGTCCTGGTCCGGCTCTCACGGCCTCCCCCACTTCTTCAGTCTCAGCAAGTCAGGAAGGTAAAGGGGCAAAGCAGGAAAATGGCTCCCACAGCCCCTCCCCCAGAGCTGGCCTGGCGGAGGAGGGGCTGGTGCTTCCTAGAAACGGGGCCCAAGTGACCTCTGGGACCCCTCCCTGGCCGAGCCGGCAGGGTGCTCCCTCGCCCGCGCAGGGGGCCGGGCCAGGCGTTGTGCATAAAGTGGTGCGGGCGTGATGGGGGCCCGGTCCCGGCCCCTGGGCCTCCTCCGGCCGCCTCAGGCCTTCAGCTGGTGCCACTGGGCCACGGGCTGCCGCGGCCGCGCGATCATGTCCTTCCAGTGCTTGACCTCCCCGGGCCCGCTCTTCCAGGACAGGTAGATCTGGGGGAGAGGACGCGTTGGTGGCGTACCCCCCGGGCCACGTCCCCCAGGATCAGGGGGGACCAGGGGCCTCCTCGGGCAGTGACAAGCCCCTCGCCAGCCCCCCCCTCCCCCCGCCTGTGGGCCTGTGGGGCAGGGGGACCTCACACTCATCGGGAGGAGCAAACAGGCTCAGGAAGGGGAGCCCGCTCAGAGTTAGGGCCAGGAGCTGGCCCAGGCCGCCGCCTCCCAGGCTCACCCGCTTAACACTAACCACTACGGAGCAGGGACAGCTGTTTCCAAGTAGGAAATGGAAGGGCTATGCCCAGAGGCACCTCCTGGAGACCTCTAGGCCGGGCATGGGCTCTCTGGCTCTTCTACGAGGAGGAGCAGTCTGGGTTTACCAGGAGAACAGCCTCAGGGGGACAGCCCTCATGGGACAGCCTTCAGGGGGACAGCCCTCAGGCACCCCCCCCCACCCCCCCGCCCCTGGGAGTCCTGCAGAGTCGGAGCGGCTGCTCCGTTTGCCCAGGTGAGAGCACTGAAGCTCAGAGAGGCGGGGACCCGCCCAAGGCCACGCAGCTGCAGCAGGGCGGCGGGGCGTGCCCCCACAGCTCGCCCTCTGCAGGGGGGACCCCGGGGGCCGCTGCTCCGCCGTCCTCTCCCCGAAGGTCACTTTGGGATCCCGGGCAATCCTTCCTCCCCTGCCTTTCCGCCTGGCTGTCCTGGTGACGGAGCCACAGCACCAGGCGGCGGGAGAAGCCCCTCCTACCCCCCATCTTCAGAGGCCCGGGGGACGGGGGCGGGGGAGAAGGCTGCCCCTTCTCTCCTCCGCAGCCCTGCGCTCCCCCACGCCCCTCCTGTGTCCGGAGGACACCCTGCCGGCCCGCCCTACCTTGCCGATGACGTCGTTGCGGCTGAGCCTGTCCTTGTCCATGACGGTGATGATGATGGTGGTCTCCCTCAGCTTCTCCGTGGGCACGTCGAAGGCAAAGGACTCGTTGAAGATGGGGTTCAGGTTCCTCTTCAGCGTCACCGTCTTCTTCTTCTCCACCCGCTTGTCCTTGTACATCAGCCACACCTTCACGTAGGGGTCTGGGCACCGGAGGGGCAGGGTCAGCGGGGTGCGGGCAGCTTCCCAGGGCGCCCATCTTCCTCCCTCTCCCCCCTCCCCCCCTCCCCGGGCGACAGCAGGGGCGGGGGGGGGGGCTGTGTGCTCTCTGCAGAGGGTCAGGGTACCCCCAGCAAGAGAGAGGTCGGGACCGCCGGACTGAGGAGCCAGGAGGGGGAACTCGGCCATGCTGATGCCCTCCTGCGCACACGGAGGCAGAGACTCAGCCGGAGTGGTGTGGGAGCTGGGGTCCGAGCCAGGCCCCCCGGCAGTGTCCCTGCCTCATGCTTCTGGGAGGACAGTCCGAGAGGACGCGGCCCCGAGGCTGCCGGGCCCAGGGCTCTGGGGCAGGAGTGGGCTGCGGGGGGTGATGGGAAGAGCGTGACCCCGTGTACTGAGCCTCCTGCCTCCCCCCACCCCCCGCCGGCCCCCACCGCTGGAGGCCCGCACCTGACGTGCCCCCGATGTCCATGGCTTTGAGGTTCCGGGCTTTGATGATGTTGACGATGATGGAGTTGGCAGAGGGGTTGTAGCAGAGCGACAGGAGCAGCTCCCCTCGGCTCCCCTGGGGGACAGGGCGGGTGAGCTGGGCGGGCACTCCTCCCACAGCATGCCTGACCGCCCCCGCCCCCCCAGCCCGACCCGCCAGCCCCCGCTCATGCCCGTGCCAGGCCTTACACTCCCATCGCTGCATGGCTTCAGATCCTTCCAGAAGGTCTGCATCTGGGTCAGGTCCACCTTGTTGAGGGGGATGGACACCTCCCCAATGGGGTCGTTGCGGCTGAAGCGGTCGTAGTCCAAGACCTGGAGGTAGAGGACCCTCTGCACCACCTTCTCGTAGGGGAAACCTGGGGACAGACAGCGCAGTGAGGCCTGGGGCCGCGGCCGGGGGGAGGGGCAGGGCCGGCTCCGGGCAGAGGGCCCAGGCCACCCCTGCATGGGCCCTCCCATCCTCCCGACGCCTCAGGGAGAACCATCATCTCATTGGTTCCCACTGACAACTCTCCTAGGTGGATGCTACTGGTCCTTTTTAAAAATATCTATTTTATTGATCTCAGAGAGGAAGGGAGCAGGAGGGGGAGATGGAAACATCAATGATGGGAGAGAATCATTGATCGGCTGCCTCCTGCACGCCCCACAATGGGAATCGAGCCCACAGTCTGGGCACATGCCTTGACCGGGAATCGAACTGTGACCTCCTGATTCCTAGGTCAACACAGAGCCACACCGGCTGGGCTCTCTTGTCTTTTTACGGATGAGACTGAGCTCAGATGGCTTAAGTCTCTAGTCCAGGTCCCAGAGCGAATGCAAAGCACTGGGACCATTCACTCACTCAGTCACCCACCCACTCACCCACCCACTCACTCACCCACCCACTCACTCACCCATCCACTCACCCACCCACTCACTCACCCACCCACTCACTCACCCACCCACTCACTTACCCACCCACCCACTCACTCACCCACCCACTCATTCACCGCAGACCCGACTCCGTGACCGCGCTGTGGTCCCCTTGCCCTTTGGCAGCCCTGCCATCATTGCCCATCGTCCCGAGGTGAGTCTGGGCCAGCAGCCCAGCCCGAGAGGACCACGTCCAGCTAGGGAGGCCGGGGGAGGGCCCCACAAAAGGAAAGAAAGTGAAGTGGGAGAGGATGGGACGCACCTGCCAGGACCCTGCACTCCCTCCGCCTCCTCCCAGTGCTCTAGCCATGCTCCCCAACTTCCTCACAGGTCCCACGGCTGCCCCTTCTCCCCGGGCACCTGGCCCACCCAAGCCTGGCACCTCCCTCACCCAAGCCTGGCACCTCGCCCACCCAAGCCTGGCACCTCCCTCACCCTCCCTGGCACCTCTTGCCTAGACTGTCTCAAGAGCCTCCAAACCACCCTGCCTGCCTGCCCGCCTGCCCCCGCAGCCCGCTCTCCACCACGGCCAGAGCGAGCTTTCAAAAATAGAAACGGCATCATAACACTCCCGCCTCGAGCCTCTCGGAGGCCCCAGGGCACTCACAATAAAAGCCGTGCACCCGCCCTGGCT